GCATTAATTACATAAACTTTATGGCATGAATTACACCCCAATAAAGCTTGGAAAACAGTACAAATAAAATTATTTGCATAGCAGTGATAATGGACCATTATAAAGGGAGAGAGGTGACCTGAGATAAAGAAGTGCTTTGCGCCGTCCACACCGATCCCCTCACCATCGGCTCTAGAAACACACCAAGCCAAACCGGACTGAAGTGCGAGGGAAACCAGGCACATTCTCAGCGAGCGCCGGGAGTTTGACAGAGCAAGCTGGCCAAAGCATTCCGGCGAGGATGCCGTTTCGCCGAACTGGCGGCCAGCTTCTCCAGACGCACTGACGGGGCTGGTGCATGCGCGGCCTTCCAGCACAGGAGGTGCCTTCAGCCAAACTGACCACACACTGGGCCACGACACTGCCATTGCTGCCCAGGACCCCTCCCTCCGACGGCACCGGGCACACCAGAGAGCCCTTGGCTCCATCTCACCACCAACAACGACTGTTCTGGGAAATAGCTCCTGGGAGAGTCGGGGGCTCGGTCGGAATGGGGTCGGAGACACCCCCAGGTGAACGGACACAGGAAGCAAATACTCTGTGATGGAGACCGGAGTGGGTGCGGCCGGCGGGGTGCGCGGTGGGAACGCGTCCCTCCCACGTGCGGGCCTCGGGCACCTGGAAGGCCGAGCAGCGGCGACTGCCCCACCTGAGAAGCCAGGGGGAGGACAGTATCTCGAGGCCGAATACACGGCAGGAAGAAGACAAAGGGAAGGAACGAAATGAAGGAAACCTTCAACAGGAGCGACGGGTCGTTGAGAACATTAATAAAGTTGCGTGGGCTGGGTGGTTCAGCCGAAGTGTCGTCCTGCACACCAAAAGGTTGTGGGTTCGAGTCCCGGTCAGGGCACACACCTGGGTTGCTGCTTTGATCCCGGTCAGGGCTTGTATGGGAGGCAACAGATCCATGTCTCTCACACTGATGTCCCTCCCTCTCTCCCCCACTCTCTCTGAAATCGATAAACATATGCTTGATAAGGATTTTTTTTGAAAAAGAAAATAATAAAATGGGCAAATACCTGGCCAGTTTGACCAACAGGAAAACAAGTTATGGCCCCAATAAACAATCTTGGGCGCGAGGAAGGGGCCCACCCACTGACCAGGCGAATGTTAAGTGCCAGTAAGTGTGAACACTAAGGCGACATGTGTGAACTCCTGGGACGCACAACTTGTCACGGTGACGAAGGAGAGGCGGGGCGGAGCCTCCCCGCAAGGGCTCCCGCCGTAGCCCCAGAATAAAAAACCTTCCCGCACAGAAAACACCAGCCCTGGGTGCCTTGACCACCCTGTGTCGCCCAGCTCCTAAGGGGGGGAAAAAGTCTGGAATGTTCCAGAACACAGAAAGGTAGGAAACACTTCTCAGCTCATCCGGCCAGGCTCACATACCTTCAGTACCCCAAGGCGGTGCGTACCAGAAAGAAACATTCTGTTATGTATGCACAATATCTCATGTAAATATTGACACAAAAATTCCAAAGACAACATTAGCAAGCGGGTTTCAGTCGTGTTTAAGAAATAATATACAATGTGAAGGATTTGGGGGGCGGGGCGAGGCCACAGACCACAGAGATGTCTGGAAAAATAACCCAAGCAGGGGGTGATAAGGCCTGCACTCAGCAGGGCGGTTTGGGGCTGCCTGCGGGATGAGCTGGGGCGCGGGCGGGGGCGGGCAGGGAAATTGCTGAGATTACATGGCTTGGGGTCTGGTTTGGGGTCTGGCGGAAGGAGGGATTGAGTTGTGGGTCACGGGGCCTGCCTGGTCCGAGGGGTACGGTCCGAGGGGTACGGTCCAGTACCACGCGGGTGGTGGTGGTCCCAGGGTGGAGAACATTCCTGGCCAGAAGATGGTGGAAGGAGCGCTGGGGGGGGGGGGGGGGGGGGGGGCTGCCCACCCACCTCTGAACCGGGGCCTGGAAACTCAGGACTCCCTGTGTCCGGCTCTGAGCCAGAACATTTCCGGCAGAAACGGAGAAGAAAGAGACCCGCCCCGCCCACCGAGCTCCTCATACCAGCAAGAGCAGCTCGGAGCTGAGCTTGCAAAATAAACAGGGCTCAACGTAAACACCGCAGCAGGTCCTGGGGGCCGGCTAAGAATGTGCACAGGGGGAGGGGGGGCCCCAGCAGCCTTCTGGGGGGCCGGGGCGCCTGCCTGCCCAGCCAGCAGCCTGACCAGGAAGGGGCTGGAGGGCCCAGGCTGGGGCAAGTAGCGGGGCCAGGACTCTGTCCCAGGGCCCGGCCCGGCGCCTGCCCGCTGTCGGCATCTCTGGGCCACCCGAGCCCTCAGACAGCCCTGCTTCCAAGCCTAGCCCCCGTCACTTTTCGAACAGACCCCCATGTTTCTGGTTTCTGCTCTCTCCCTGTCTCTGGTCCCTGAGGGACCAGCTCACACAGAACCTGCTGTGTGCGACCTTGGGCAACGGCTCAACCTTCCTGAGCCTCGGTTTCTCCTCCTGGCAAAGAGGGTTTACTGGGGCAAGCGAGAATCCTTCCCAGAGCAGAGAAGGCGATGGGAAGAGCACGAGGCAACCGCTGATTTCTAAACAGAAGCAAAGAGTGGGCCACAGCTGTCCCTTCACAACCACGGGGGGGGGGGGGGGGGGGCCGGGCAGGGACGGCTCCAGCGTCTGCAGGGGGGTCCCGACGGTGCAGGCTGGAGGGTGCCGTTTCTGCTTCCCCCTCCCCCCAGAGTGAGGCCAGCCGGGACAGAGGCCAGGCTGGGGATGGAGGGCAAGGGGCCCCAGGAAGAAATGCATCCTGAAGGGGGCGGGACTTCTGAGTTGGAGCAGAGGACCCTCCTCTCCCATGTGAACAATGGCCCGCACATAAGGAAAAGGGGCTTCTTGCAGGGAAACTGAGGTGTCCCTGAGCGAGCCAAGTTGGTCCTCCCTGGTAACCCCTGACCCGCAGAATGACCTGCTCTTGAGAGTGGGGACCATGTGCCCCAAGGGCCCTTGTCCACCCCTCTCTGAGGCCCTTGCCCTGAGAGAGCCGGACAGGGATGGGACTCCGTCGGGGCCCGGGGCCTGTGCTGAGGAGGAAGCAGCCGAGGGCTGGAGCCTCCGCTCCCACCGCCAGGGCCCGGCTCCCTTCCGGCCCCCGGCCAGCCGGGCGGGGGTGGGCCGGCACGGGGGCTCTGGCTGGGGTGGACGGCCGGCGGGCTCGGCCACCGCTGCAGGCCTGCCGGGCCTGCGAGGGCCGGGCGGCTGCTGGATTTCCTGCCCCAACTTCCCGCAGTCAGCAGGATTGCGCGGAGGTTGTTTATGGCCCCGATGGCGGCAGCGATAAGTGCGATGACGGGGGCCCAGGACGTGCCACTCCGCCCTCTGGGCCTGACGAGGCCCTTTCCCAGGGTCTGTCCCCAAAGGGGCCACTGGCCAGCGCAGGGGAGGGGCTGGACAGGCTGAGCTGACTGCTGCCCACTGTGACCTCCGCCCTGGGCCCAGCTGTACAGACAGCAGGGCCGAGGTGCAGCGGGCGGCGTGGCCCTGCTTGCCGTCCCGAGACCGGGGCGTGGGACCCCACTTCTGTGGCAGCACAGGACGATGGGATCGGTGCGGGCCGGTTTCCCCAGCGCCATGCGCGCGGATGTCCCAGAGTCCAGCCCCCCAAACTCTCCCGGGTGCAGAGCCTGGCAGCCTGCGGCTTTGGGGGCTTTGCTCCCAAACCTGGTCCCCAGGCACTGGGGCTCTGGGGGCTTTGCCTTTGCTGTCCCAGTCTGTAGAAAGGTGGGCAGGTGGCCCCACCGCGGTGCGCCACAGGGACCTCGGCCCACTGCGGGCTATGTCCGGGCTCTCAGAGCCCCAGCTGGCTGCTCTTCCCGCCTGTGGAGGGACACGGCAGCCCACCCACTGTCACCTTCCGGGACACCAGGCTCCCCCCTCCCATCTGTCCTGAGAAGCCGTGGGTGGGCAGAGCCATAGGAAGTCCCCGACGGGGCGGGGCGGGGGGTGGTAGAGAGGGACAGGAGTCTCTGGAAGATGGGAGGCGAGGCCTGTCCCAGGGCTGCTCCGGGGCTGGGGGAGGTGGCCAGGGTGGGCTTCAGTGTCCCAGTCTCCTTCCCATGCTGCCAGAGAGGGACGTGTCCCGCTGGGCCGTCCGCCCGCGAGAAGGGGCCCGGTGCTGCTCAGGCCAGTGCTGACCGAGGGCGGGAGCACCACGCAGCCCAGCAGGCACCTGGACAATGGTCCTCCCAAGACAAACCGGTCCCCTACACCTCCCTCTCGTCCTGATCTCACTGGGCCAGCTGGGACCCGGGCGGGGTGGGCCGTGAATGTGGGCCGGAGCCATGCGTCGCCAGGGAAGCCCAGACACGGTGCCCCGCCCGACTGAAGCTCCTCTATTTTTAGCCTCCGGCTACTTCAGATAAAGCCCGAGTAGCCCCACGAGCAGCTCAGCAAGATAACCGTCCACTCCGAGCTGCAGAGACTTTGGAGGGCGCCCTGCTGCTCCCCAGACCTCCCTTGGCTCCCAGGGCCACCTGGGAGGGGCCGTGGGGAGGGGCATCCTGGGGCCCACTAGGGCCTCGGCTGACACCCCACACCTTCCGGCGCAGTCAGGACCCCACGCAGGGCCCCTCTTCCCCGCCTGACACATCCCTGATGCCCCGAACCAGTCCAGAGTGTGGGGGGGCCTGTGGGCGCCAGCTGCCACTTGCCAGAGGTCAGGGACGCGGCCTGGCTGGCCTTTGACAGGCCTCTGCCCATGGGGCCGATGCCCAGCCAGGGGGAGGGGTGGACATGAGCCCCAGGCAGGGAGACCCTAGTGGGGTGTGTCCGCACTGAGCACAGCAGCGGGAGAGGGCGGGAGTTGACACACTCCTGCTGCACCTTCCACGCCCTGCACGCCCTCACACGACTCGGGACGCGGCTGGAGTGTGAGCGACTGCCGTGTGGGCATGGTGCACGGGCCCCCGACAACAGCCGCCAGGGGCAGTGTGCCGGGCCCGGACCCGCCGCGCCTACCTTGTCTTCCACGCGGCTCAGGCGGGCGCCGACGGTGTTGCTGCCGCGGTCCTTGCTCTTCTCTGTGGGGCAGAGCACCCGGTCAGGGGACGAGGCTGGTGTGGGGCTCAGGGCGGACTGGCCAGATCCCGCAAACTTATCAAAGTGCTTCTGTGGCCAGTGCTTCAGGTGGAAAGCACTGGGGTGCAGGGGTACGGACGGTGGGGGTGCAGCGAGGTGGGGCGTGGTGGGGACCGGCCGCAGCTGCAGCCCTGCTGCGCTCCCCCGGGCCTGCAACCTTCGAACCCCCGGGGCCCACTGTGCGTAACGGGACGGCCCACCCCCCGGGCAGCACGGGCCTAGCTCAGTGCCGACGCCCGCCCCCCTTCGCCCCCCGCCATCCCGGCCCCTGTTCGGCTGTGGTGGAGGCCACCCCCGCCTCGCCCTGCCCTCCCTGGGGGTGACAGCCCAGTCCAGGGGTGCGAGGAGTCGACACCCAGCTGGCTGCCATTGATGGCCCCTGGAGCCATCAATGGGGTGGGAGGCTGGCCACGCACCCCAGAGGGAGATGCCCCCCAGGTCTTCCTCCGAGGAGACCACCAGAAGGGACCCGCGTGGTCCTCACACCCACTGAAAATTCATCTGTGAGGCGGGTGTGAAGCCGCTCAAATGGAATGGGTGGGGGCCTCTGACCCTCTCTCTGGCCTTTGCTTCTGTCCCTCACTGTGGAGACCCCGGGCCCGCTCTGACTTGGGGAAGAGGTGGGACCTGGTTCTGCAGGGCCGCCACCCCCAGGGCACCATGGCGTGGACACCCACCTGAGGCAGAGACGAAGAGGGAGGGCTTCCCGATGGACTGGTCCAACCTGCGGGGAGATGGGTATCAGCTCGTGCTTGGCCTGGGCGCCGCCGCTGGGGCTGCCCCCCGCTGCCTCCCTGGCCCCAGAGGCCTGCGTTTCCCATGGGGCTGGGGTCTCCGAGGTCGGGCAGTTCCCTTCCACTCCCTCCCTGGGCAGGGTGGGTCCCAGGATCGCCCAGTGTTTGAGGCTGCTGTGTACAGGCCCCTCGACACACCCCAGAAGGCAGGCCTGCGGTGGGGGATGGGGGGCCTTCCAGGGCGAGGCTGGGTCCCTGAGCTGGGCAGCCTTTGTGTCCCAGTGGGAGAGGTGGCAGGGCAGCCCTCGCCCCTGGCGTGGGGTGAGGACCAGCGCTTTCTCTCAACTGTACCCATGACCCACGGATCTCGGGCCCAGGCCAGCCCACCGTGGAGGCACCGTTGGTCTGAGCCTGTGCTGGCCCCAAGGACCACGCCGCCTCCCTGCGAACATGTCTCCAGGCTTCAAGTCAGAAGCCAGAGCGTGGGGCCAGGGTGGAGAGGCCCCAGGGTGGTCCCTGTGCCTTGCTCGGAGCGGGTGGGCTGGCCATGAAGTGCCCTGCAGCTGTGAGTCGAAGCGGGAGAGGAGCGGAGGTCCCCGTCCCCTTGGTCCCCTTGTGCCCCTTCCCTGTGCCCCCGGCCCCGCCCCCGGGGCTGTGCGCACCTTCTCTGCAGCTCCTTGATGCGCACCATGAGGTTGAGGTGGCCCTGGGAGTACTGCTCGATGACGTCCCGCACGTCGTAGGGCTTCCGCGCTTGCTGAGGCCGGGAGACACCAGTCACTCCCTGAGCTGTGCCCCACGGGCTCCGCACAGCGTGGAGGGGTGGGCGCCCATGTGGGGGGACAGTGGGCTCCTGCATCATCCCCAGGGGCTCCGCGGCCCGGCTCGGCTGCCGGGGGCTGGGTGGCCCTGGGCCAGCAGCTGGCCTGCCCATGCGTCCTCCCCTTCCAGGCCACCAGGTCCCCTTCTCACCCAGCTGGGAGAGCTGGCCTAGCCCAGAGTCCAGAGGGCAGTGAGACCACCATGTGCCGGCTGCGCGGGCCTTAAGCGGTTGGGCCTCAAGCTGACCCCCAACCCACTCGCTGGCAGGCACACCCACTGTCCTCAGAAGGGACGTGGCCGGCCATGCACCCCTCCCAGGCAGCCTCCAACAAAGGGCAGAGGGGACCCCAGGGGAAAGCCTTGGAGCACAGGGCCCGCTCTTGGCGACAGGGGCACCGGGCTCTTGGGGACACTCCCACGGCAGGCACAGGGCTCAGGCGGGCGACTCTAGTGCACCAGCTTTGAGCCCGAACGTGCACCCGGGGCCCAGGTCCAACCCCAGAAGGGACGGCAGAGGGACGGAGGCTGCCTGTGAGGTCAGCGCCACTGCAGGCCCCACGGGGTCCCCTTCCCCAGGGGCAACCCCGGTGGCAGGGGGCCGGCCAAGCAGGAGTTTGACCGCCCAGGCCACCTTCGGCCACAGGAACGTGCCGGTCACGGGCGCCTCTAGGAGGGCTGCGGGCGTGGGCACCGGCGGTCCGAGGGAGGGCCCGGCCCTGGCCGGAGCTCGGCAGAGCGTGGTCAGGCCGGCTCGGCTCAGGCGGGACAGGGAACAGGTTCAGATGCCCTGGAGGGTCGGGGCTGGGTCCCAGCCCCGCTGTTCCCTCTGTGCCAGGGGGATGCTGAGCCCAGCCCGCCTCTTCTGTCATGTGGGACTGAGCCCTGTCTCGAGCTGGTCAGCAGGGGAGGCAGTGGGATGAAACAGGGAGGCAGGTGAGAAAGGTCAGGGAGTCCTGTCCAGCCACGCCACCAGAGCCAGAGCGGTGGTGGCCGGGCTCACCCTGGGGTCTGAGCCGTTCCCCGGCGGGCATGGAGTTGGCCTGCGTTGTGCCTGTCAGGGCCGGGAGGGCAGAGGCACGTGGGTGCGGAGCCCAGGGAGGTGCGGGCCCGGCCTACACAGGGCAAGTCCTGGCTCTGGCCTCCCAGACTGCCGGGAGGGCACGGGCCACGGCCTGCAGGTCACGTGGGCACCCAAGCGAACCCTGGGAGAACCCTGGCAGAACCCTGGCACTGTCTGCCTGTGGTCAGGCCTTCTGGAAAGGGAGTGACCGCTCCGTGGGTCCCTGTCCCTACGTCGGCCTGTCCTCAGAGTGTGGGCCGAGCTGGGTCCCCTCCTCAGACCAAGCACAGTCCCCACAGCAGAAGGAGTGGGGCTGAGGCCGCCACCCACCAGCCTTCTCTGAGGGCCTCAGGCTCGGGGGGCAGAGGGGCTGCTGCAGACTCCCACCCACGAGTGGCGGGAAGCCAAGGAGACCCCACCTCTCCCCGAGAAGGCAGGCCACCACCCGGGGCACCGGCCTCCCCTCTGCTCTGCCTCATACAGGGTGGGGGAGGGAGGGACCCCAACTCCTGCCCAGGTGACGTGGGCCAATCGGCCCCCTCCCTGAGTCCCACCCACACCATGCGCCTATCAACCAGGGGAGGGGTGAGTGAGCCCCTGGCTCTGGGCTGGCGTCTCCGGGAGGGACAGTGAAGCCGTTGCCATGACGGCTGGGAGAGGGGCTCTCGGGATGGGCAAAGGCCGAGGGCTTGGCACAGGACCCACCTGGAATTTCTTCTTGGCCACAAAGTACTGCATGCGCCGGATGACCTTGATGGTGGCCCGGTGGTGCTCCCGCAGCCTGCATGGGGGACAGAGAGAAGCACGTTTGCTTGCGCCTTCCCTAGTGCGCCCTGCACGTGTGGGCGGGCCCTTCTGGGACCGGGGAGGATGGCCCCCTGCCCCAGGACGGAGGTCTTCACGGCCGCGTTCTCTCCAGGGAGATGATATCAAGGAGCCCCACACGTTCTTAGTTCTAAAGACTGCAAATCGAGGGGCAAACGGAGCACGGGAACAGATGCGGTAGGGTCAACACCTTAAGCACTTTCCGATCCTCCGTTAGGAGGGGTGGTTTCCCGCTACTGGAATCTGGGACGCTCTGGATGCTTGATGGCGGAGAAGAGGATGCTGGGAAGTGGTGCTGGGCAGAGCTCACGTGCTCCTGGAACTCGACCCTGTGAGCCAGCCCGAGCTGGCCGGCCAGGAGGCCCAGCCGGGATCCCACGCTGAGCAGGAGACTTGTGGGTGGGGCCATCCTCCACCACCCACCCCTGATCAGCCACCGATGGCCGCAGCTGCATGTCACCCCCCAGCGAAACGACATCCCCACAAGAGCCCGAGTCACTGGTCCGCAGAACGCTGAGCGAGAACTGCCAGCGGAGCCTCTGTTAGGGGCGGTTTGCTGTGTGGCGTCAGATAAAGACAGTAGGCCTGGACAAGTGGGACACCGATACACCGAGACCCCAGGGGACGTGGTGCTGGTTTGGGGGCCGGTGCCAGGCAGAGGCCAGAGTGAGGGGTGGACCGTGAGAGCCTGGCCTTCCAGCAAGACGCCGTGTCTGACTGAATAAGGCTGGGCGCTGCCTCAGGGGGTGAGTGAATTTTGCACTGGGGTGGATTCCGGGTGCGTGCTGGTCCTTCGCAGCCCCGCACGGTGAGAGTGGACTTGTGTGTTCAAGAGGCGTGGTAGCCTCCGCTTGCCCTCCTAGAGTGCGCCGCCTCGTGGGCAGCTGGGAGAGCCTCGTGGGGGAGCTGGGGCATCCCGGCCGGCAGCTCGACAGCTTCAGAGAGCAGCCGGCTGAGACCAGCGTCACCACCCGGCTGGCACCTGGGTGAGCACCAGGGTGGGCACACGGTGAGCGGCCGGTGTGCCGACCCAGGGACTCAGACGCAGGTGGAGGTCATGGTTTGCTTCAGAGGCTCCTGGTAAGGTTTTAAATAAGCACGATAAATAGGTTCAAGGGAATAGATGGGAAGCCAGAGAATTTCACCAGAGAACTCAAATCTACTTGAAAAATTGAAAAAGGAAACCCTACAACACGGAGGACAGTAATGGGTATTAAATGCGACAGACAGATTTGCTAGCGGCACAGAAGAAGGACCTGGGACTGCACGGGAGTGGCCGCGCTGGGGTGCGCAGCGGAGGTGGGATGAAACACGGAGGAAGTGACGAGGCCTGTGAGATGTGGCTGAAAGTCCCGCCACGTGTGAAATCCAGAGGGAGAGGACGCGATGGGGGACAGGTGGCTCTGAAGATGTGCCGGCCAGCGGTTGTCCAGAAATGATGGCTGACACCAGGTCACAGATCCAAACAGCTCTTTGGGCCCACGTTGGAGAGACAAAAGGTTCCTCAGACCCAGGCCTGCCCGAGTCACGCTCCGGAGGTCCCAAAGGCACCGGGAGTGTCCCAGGAGGAGGGCAGGAAGGGGGGGGACGATGACACAGTGTCCTGATGTCAGGCTTGTCAACAGAAAGGACGAATGCCAGATGCCATGGTTAAAGTGCTCGAGGAAAATCATCAGTCCAGCGTTCTATACCCATCAAACGCGTCCTCACCACGGAAGGGGGAAGTGGAATAAGCCAGACGCACGGGGTGGACCCTGAGTGATTTTGCTCGGTGAGGCCCCCGGAGCAGCCAGAGCCGTGGGGACAGAATGCAGGACAGCGGGTGCCCGGGGCTGGGGTGGGGGTGGAGTGGGGAAGGGGAGTGAGTGTATAAAGGGGGCAGGGCGTCAGGTCTGGGAGGATGGAAAGTTCTGGAGAAGACGGTGGTGACGGCGGAACAATGGTGTGGATGCACTTTGTACCAGCAAGCCCTGCACTCTGGATGGCTAAGGTGGGAAGTCTTGAGTGTACTGTCCTGGGACGGACGGACGGACGGACAGATGGACAGGAAGGTGAGACCCACACCAGGAGACCCCGCTGTGGGGGAGCTGCCCTGAAGGATGACGTGGCGGCCCCACGGGCACAGGCAGCGGTGTCAAGGGAAGCCGGGAGCAGAGGGGGACACGTTTACGACACGGTTTCCGTCAGCGCACGCCGGCGCAATGGCACGTCACGGGGTTTAGTGTTACTAGAGGGAGAGAGGGGTGTTCTATAATTTAAAAAGTGGTGGATTCGCTGGGAAGGTGTCGTGGTACCTCTGTGTGCACCTGGAAGCACACGCACGTACACGTCTGTATGCGTGAGCTACCACGCACGGTGACAACCACATCAGGGCGCAGGGCGGCGGCCAAAGTCTGGGGCGCATTTTGCCATCTCTAGGCAACCCCTGAGGGTCAATAATAAAATGATGTAGAATCAACATGCTCATGGAGGATGGAAGTCAAATGACAACGATATTTGATTCGTCCCAAAGCAGCAGCAGAGGGGACAAAAAGGAAGCCACGGGGAAGATGGGAAGCAGGAGTGAGATGGCAGCCTGGGTGCGTTTTGAAGGGACCGAATGTTCCAATGAAAAGACCAAGGCTGTCAGGCCGGGCTGAAGAACCTGAGGCTGCCTGTCAGTCCCCTTGAAAGTACAGAGATCTAGAAAGGTGGACAGGAAAAGGGTAGGAAAAGGCCTACCCTGGCGCAGCCGAGAGAACGCTGGCCTAGGTGAACTAATACTGGACCTTAAGTGTTTGTACTTGGAGTATAAGAGGGAGCTTCCGTAAGTTAAAAGGGGCTCCATACTGGGTGGGAAGATAATAATTCCAAATCCGTATGCACCTACAAAGAGACCCTAAAAACACACAAAGCAAGAGGTGAAAGGGGCTCCGCAGTCACGGCCCGTGGCTGGGCGGGGGGGTAGGGGGGCTGCCAAAGCCTCAGCAGAGACGCAAAAGTAAAGATGAAAACAGAACCTGGGCAGAGAGACAGCACGCGAGGCCTGAGCGTGAGGTGGCCTGACCGACATTCGGGACCATGGCTCTAAGTCACCGAGCAGCACACAGCTCTCCAAGAACGCACGGAACCGCCCCCCGGGGAGGCCTCCGAGAGGCTCTGGAGGCAAGTTCCAAGACATTTCCGAGAAATGACATGATGTGTGTGTGCTCCCTGAGCCCAGGGAGATGAGGCTGGAAATGAGGAAGACGGAGATGCCGAGAAACCCCTCCTGTCTTAGAGCTGAATCTAAGTAACTCAAGGGTCAGAGATGACATCTAACGAGAGCTGGAAAACAGTCTGATCTGAATAACAATGAAAAGGCCTCTATGAAAACTTACAGCGAAGTCGGAACTGGGGTCCCATGAAGGAAGTGCTCACAGGGAAGTTCATGACCGTGGGCAGGCATCTGAGAGGGGAGGGGAGGCTGAATCTGCCTCGAGAAGCGAAGACAATGTCAAACTGAACTCCAACGACATAGGTGACGGGTAATGAAGACAAGAGCATAATTCAATGAAATAAAAAACGCACGGTGCAGTGAAGACAGTTGACCAGGCCAGAAGGTTAGTCCCCAAAGAGACGAGTAAAACTGACCACCTTCCAGCGAGCCCGCCGGTTTGGGCACCAGAGACGGGGCGTCGGTGTGGCCTGGGAGGTGTTTTTACAGCACCCCTTCAGAGGCTAGTGTGCATCAGAAGAATTTTTATAGTTTAAATAAATTAGATTAGTGTCTTAAAAACACAATCTATAACAGGAGACAGGAGAAGAAATTTTAAAAATTCAGATGGCCTGATACTAATGAAATAAATTAAATCTGGAATTTTAATGATCTCCCCCCACACAACAAGCCCTTTGAGTCGCGACGAGGTCCCAGGGACGGTTCTAAGTGTTTAGGGCAGAAACAATACCGAGCCTGTGGGAGCGGTTTTCGAGGACAGTCGTGAGCCAGCGTGACCTTGGTACCAGAACCCGACAAGGACCCCTCACGGAGGGAAAATCGAGGGCCAGTCTCTCTCGCACACACCCATGCCCGGCCCAGGAGACCCGCACCCGCGCAGGCCCGTCTCACGCCTGCGGTCAGTCCGTGTAGCCCGCCACATGGACCGAGAGAGAAGGAAACACATGTAATGGACTCCGAAGGGGCAGAAAAACATTTGATAAACGTCAAGACCCATTCCTAATTAGAAGCACAACCATAGGACGAGAAGGGAGCCGAGACATAGAGACGGACCCAGAGCGAGCCACACGGGACGGGAGGGGACGGGACGAGGGCCAGGGTGCAGGTGCGCACCTACGGCCCCTCCGCCTGAGGCCAAGGCGCTGTTTGCTCCCGGCCGGGAAAGGGTGTTCTTTTCAGTAACCGGTCCCAGAACCGTCAGCCTCTCCCTCTGAAAGGACACGGACAGCCATCCCTGCCACAGGCCGGGCCCAGACCTGGCCAGCGGGGTAGACGTGGGCCCCAGGTGAGCACAGGACGCTGTTCCTGACGTTGGGAGAGGCCATGGCTTCTATGACAACACACAGGGCGCACTAGTGGTGAAGGGGAGGAGGGGGTCCGCCAACGGGGCCCTCTGTGCCCCTGCTGAAGTCGCTGCTGGAGCACGAAGCACGTTTCCTGCTGAAGGGCCGGGGGGCAGGGGGGGACACACAATCTGTGGCCCTGTGCCTGTGAGGGAGAGCCGGCACCGGCCCGGGCAGGTGGGCCGAGCTCTGAATGGTTCTTCGCCGAGGAGCGCACAGCACTCGCCACAACGATAGAAATCACAGGGGCTGACAGTGTCAGGTGCCAGGGTGTTGCAGGGCCACAGACCCCGTGTGCGCGGTGGGAGGCGCGTGGTCCGGCCACCTGGGAGGGCCGTCCAGCGTTCCCGCTTCCAGAGCCGTCCCCCGGAGGAACTGGGGCTCAAGTCCGCCGGAGGCACTGAGCCGGTGTTCAGA